GCAAAGCAAAGGCTGTACAATAGTTTTCCTTTCTATTATTTTGATGTTTGAACATTCTGGAAAAAACCCATCCTGTAATCTGGACGATTCAGCTATCTTTAGCTAAGGAAAAATGAAGTATCACCACATGTCTATGAAAAAAGATTAGCAAACAGCTGTAATCTTTTCTGAGATTATGTTGAGTGAACATTTAACCGAACATTAAGCACACACTTAGTAACAGACCATCACCTTTGGACTTTACAACCTCATAATAAAAACATATATTTCTAAAGGGCCATTAGGTGACCTTCCCATTAGTTACATGACTGAACAAAGCAACCTTGTCCAAGGACATATCAGCAAAGATCTAAATGCTAAAAACATTGGTCATATAATGTGTGTCATTCTTTAATTCACAATAGTTTAAGTGGTTTAAAACTTGAGATCAATAGTCACTAAGCCTCTGAAAAATGCTATTACTCCTTTTTGAAATTATTTTTAGCAGCATAAGCATGTTAGACTCTCATCCCTGGCTTACCTTTTTCTAAAGCTGTCAGAAGTCTCTTACTCTTAAGAGAATGTGTGCCCCACAAAGTCATGTGACCAAAAGTTATAATAAGTGTGTAACATATCAAAACTGCATGAATTACAGGATCAGATAACTCACCCCATAATATCCCAGCCCTTCCAAATTTAAAATATTGATTTTTAAAAATAAAATAAAATATTAATCAGATCTGAAATTCAGAAGGACAGCAAAACACTTATGCTACAAAATCTTTGTTGAAGTCAACAACCTGTGTAGTTAGACAATACTGGAATCACTACTGACTTGTAGTCAGTAGCATCACTGGGGGGTACGAGGGGTGAGACCTGCACTGGGTGACACCCCAAAAAAGGGGGGAACACCTGGTTGTCCCCCCAGTCCCCACAGAGGTCCCCAGCCCAGGTGGGTGGTGGGCAGCTGTTTTTCCAGCCACACAGCCACTTTTCCCAGCTCATACAGTTGCTTTCCATGGGCCTGGGGGAGTCTCTGGGCTTCAGGGAGTGGGCCTCTGGCCAGGGTGGGTTGTCGTTCTGCAGCTGCATGGCCATTTCCAGCCACTCCTTCCTTTGGCTGGGCTTTCCCTGAGGAAAGCCAGGTTGAAGGGAAGAGGATCAAGGCATGCACACATGTGCACACACTCAGCATGCTCAGTCCCTCCTTAGGGAAGCCCCACCCCTTCCGCTTTGCTTCCTCCCCACTAAAGCTAGGCACACTACTGCTTGTAGTGTTTTCATACGAGAAGAATGACAAGCACTAATTGATTAAAAATAGTGGCTGTCATCTTGTTCTGTAGTTATAGCTGGACTTATGATCTCACAACTGCTGGGAATTCATGTTTATGACTGTTAAAAACCAAATGTGACCCCAAACACTGCCAAAGGCAGAGCAGATTGGGATACTCTTGCATCACTCTTACTGAGAGAGCCAGCATGGTGTAGTGGTTTGAGCAATGGACTAGAACTCTGGAGACCAAGGTTCAAATCCTGGTTCAGTCATGTAAACCTATTGGATGAGCTTGGGCAAGTCATAATCTTTCAGCCTCAGAGAATGGAAATGGCAAACTCCTTCTGAAGTAACTTGCCAAGAAAACTCCACAATAGCTTCTTTTGTTTTCTTTTGTTTGTTACTTTCATTTGAACTACTGTACTGAACTCTACTTGGGGCTGCCTTTGAAGAGTGCTTGGAAACTTCTGCTTTTTTTATTTTTATCTTCTTTTTTATTTGTATTTTATTGTAGTAGTTTAATTCTATTTTAATATATTATTTTGTATTATTTTAATTGTATTGTTTTTAATGTTGTAAGCCACCCCGAGTCCCAGACCTGGGAGAAGAGTGGGATATAAGTAAATATAATAAATAAATAAATAAATAAATAGCTTTACTCTAGTCAGAAATGATTTGAAATCATATAACAATGACATGTAAAGAAGCACTTCCTTTCTTTGGGGGGAGCTTGATGCATCCAGTTTGTGTGTTCACTAGTGGTGTGCTCAGCAGCATCCCATTGGAGTTTTCAAGAGTGGCCTCAAGTAAAAAAAATCATTGAAATAGTTAAAGATTTTCCATACCTGGGCTCAGTCATTAATTAAAATGGAGACTGCAGTCAGGAAACCAGGAGAAGACTGAGACTGGGAGGCACAGCTATGAAGGTACTGGACAATATTCGTAAGCATAAAGATATATAATTGAATATTAAAGTTAGGATTGTCCATGCCATTGTTATTTCCAATTTCTATGTATGACTATGAAAGCTGAACAGTGAATAAAGCTAATAGGAAATAAAACAACTCATTTGAAATGTGGTGCTGGGGGATAAATAGGTCCTAGAGCACTGGGTGACCTTAGGCATGTCACATGTTCTCAGGGGAAGACAATGGCAAACCTTCTCTGAACAAATCCTGCTAAGAAAAGCCCATGATAGGTTTAAATTAGGGTCACCATAAGTGAGAAAGAACTTGAAGGCACACAACAACAACAACAAACAACAACAACAACAACAACAACAACAACAAGTTGTACTGAACAAAAATGGATTCCCTCTGAGTAACCTTAATTATGATTGCAGTGTGTGTTTCTGACTTATGATGACCCTATCATGAGTTTTTCGTGGCAGGATTTCTTTAGAAAAGGTTTGCCTTTGCAAATCCAGTGGGAGTTCAAGGCTGAGTGTAGATTTGAACCCTGACCTCTTCCCCCAATCCTAGTCCAAGATTCAGATCAATAGTAGCATCACTGGGGGGAGGGTGCAAACCACACCAGGTGACACACCAGAAGCGGGGGTGACACCCCAGAAGAGGGGGTTACACCTGGTCAGTCCCCCACCCCCCAGGGCTTGGGCCCACTCTCCCAGCCACCACAGAGCTTTCTGGGCTGCCGTGGATGCGCAGGGCCCGTTCTCCTGGCTGCCACAGGCCGCACGCAAGATTTTCCAATGCATGCACATGCATGCATGCTCCTGTGTGGCACGTGTACCGGAAGTCCCACCCCCAGAAGCCCCACCTCTGCACCAGATGACACCAAGTTGGGGTACGCTACTGCAGACCAATGCACCATGCTGGCTATCATTATTGCAGTGTGAGGTTACATTGGCCCAACCTGTAAGCCATGAAAACAGAAAACAAACTTCTCTAATCCTGATCAAATTTACATGAAGCATCAAGGCTGGCAATTGTTCAACTTGAGATATTTTACTACAAGTTGAGTATTTTTTTTATCAGAATGCTTGGGGCCAGAAATGTTTTGGATTTTTTTATTTTTTTGGATTTTGGAATTTTTTCATATACGTAATGAGATAGTTTGGAGATTGGGCCATGTCTAACACAAAATTCATTTATGTTTCATATACACCTTATAGACATAATTTTATACAAAATATTTTTAATAATTTTGTGTGTGAAACAAAGTTTATGTATGCTGAACCATCAGAAAGCAAAGATGTCAGTATTCCAGCCACCCAAATGAACAATTTTGGATTTTGGAGTTTTTTGGATTTCAGATTTCCAGGTAAGAAATACTCAGCCTTTAATGAGCAAAACATTAAGCAAATATGTTGTCAGGCATTTGAAGATACTGAAATGGCCGAGATCCTGAATCAGGAGACATATGTATATCACATAGCTTTGTTTCTGTCTCTATACTTGTCCTGATGCTACCTCCCACAAACCCACTTTGTGAACAATGAAGAGCCTCTCAAAATAGCCATTTCCATGTTGTTGGAAAGTGAGGGACACATCTGTCACATCCTGTATCTGGATGAGCTGCAATAGGCAATATCCAGCTGCAGGAAAATAGATGGAGGTGACCTTGATGTCCCCCTCTCTCTCCAACAACATGTCAATGCCCATGGGGAGGTGGTTACAATGCTTGCAAGGTATGGTCTGGGGCAAGATTTTGGTTGTTGCATGGAACAGAATACCATCTTCTTCAACAACCAGAAAAGGAGAGTTGTGGTGGCATTAGTCCAACTTATGTCCTTGTAATTCACCAGTATGATACCAACAAATGTTTATACTTTGAACATTGGGATCCAGACAGAGTTGACTGTACTCTTCCCAATGAAATCACTGCAACTTAAGTTTAATAATTAACCCTTTATTTCAGTTTATTGGGAGATCTTCAAGCAGAGGTTGGGATAATTTATTCTAGCTATGCTACAAGAACCATCCCAACTTTTTTTTATTTCTTTGGTATTGTACAAAAGAATATCATCTGCTATGAGCAATCAGATGATATATCAAAATAGGATCAGAGCAGGAAGAGCAAAAGAAAAGGAAAAAGAGGAATACGGCAGCCGGAAGAAAACACAGTCAGGTGTTTAAAAAAAAGGTCATCCAAGAGATATGCCCAATAAAGACCACCATCACCATTTGGCTGCATCAGAACTGGAACTGTCAAATCCAATATCAAAATAAGGCATGTTGTCCTATAATTACAGAGAAGCAAATTGTGAACTACAATAAGCTCCACAGTACCATTTAATGCTGTTTTAAGGGGGGTGGGTTGGTTTTTCTTTTTTGGGATATGTTATACGGGTTTTATTGTAAGCCGCTTGGATTGTTTGTCAATAAGCGGGATATAAATAAATTTTATTATTATTATTTATTATTGTGCACCAAAAGGCTGAGTGAAGAGCATTCTGCAGTGTAGTCTGAGGTTATTTTCATAGTTTGTTCCTTGCAAGACTGTGTTGAGGCCTTTTTCTGGTTAACCTCCTCCCCTTTAACACAGAAGAGATTGAGAGGCAAACCTGGTTCAAAGCAAAGGGATGTCAGGTGAGAAAAGGTGACAGAATCAATGGCACCTCTGGGATGACTCAGGAAAATAAGAGCTTCCTAGGAGCTTGACTGGCTACAAAATGTTTCCATGACAGAGAACACAGCAATTTGTTCCTGCTCCAGTCTGCCCAAATCAACCACCTTCGCCTCAGTTTCAAAGGCTATTGTTTAATAGTCAGGCTATGGGGCGGGGGGGGGGAGAGTGATTTGTCAGCCACTGAGAATCTCATGGGGCTCATATACTTGTTTTTCTTCTCCGTAACATTACATAATGGGAAGTAGAAAATGTTTGTACAGTAGCTGTATCGGTCCTTTGGGCAAGGGGGAAGGGAAGGAGGTGGATAATTTCACTCTGTTTATTAGACCAATAAATCATTTATAATACTCTAGCTTTCAGGCTGGTCCCTTATTGCTCATGCCAGCCATGACATGTTACTTGGTGACGGAATGTAATGGAACTTATTGAAAATGGGCTTAATTCATTTTGTTAACCACAATTTCTCCAAAGTCAAACAAGGGGGATCCAGAAGAACACATTCTTGTGTGTGCTTGAAAATGAGAAAGATTTTCAAGTTACAACCCCCCCCCAATCATCTAACATAAGGGAAGGGAGTATCTTTAGTACTTCAAATGTTTTAGACGTCAGTCCCCACAATCCCTTACTTGTGACCATGTTGGGTAGTACTGCTGACAGGCGAAGCTCAAAACAGCTGCAAGGCTGATCTAAATGGGTATATGGTCTTGCTTGCATTAAATGAGTTTGAGAGATTTTAGGTTCCTTGAAGACTGCTGATATTACCTAATTCCATCATTAGGGGATTTTTTTTTTCATTTTAATTGATTATAACTACCATTTGACAATATGAAAACTAAAAACAAGTACAATGAAAAATAAAAAGAGAACAACTCAAGATCTCAGTCAAAAGCCAGATCGGGTCAATACTACATAATCAAAAAATCTTAACATTATTGGCAGGAATGCATAATTACTGGACCTTTGTATTTGATATATACACCTACTTAGCTTCATACCATGGAACTAATCAAATGCCACTTCACTTATAAGTTCTTTGCCAGTTCTAAATGGTGTTGTTTTTTTTAATTCTACTAATGTCCAGTCAGTGGTCAGCAAATGACAAAACTATAAGAACATGCACACAAGTTCTTTAATGTTAAATGAATATACAATCTGGAATGCTAGTTTACTACTGAGATATTCATGACCAAACCACCTGGCCAAGGAGTCTTTTGATTTTTGGAGTATAATCTCTGCCCAATTGTCCTGGTGGTTCTTTAAATCGATATTTATGCTTCTCTTCCTGTTATTTCTTAAAATATTCTTTTTCCCCTCACCATAGCTTGTGATAGGAGGTGGGCACAGGGCAGATGACACCACACTCAAGTCCCCAAAGCCATCTGATAATGTGCATGCACCTGGCATCCTCATGAGGT